CCTTTCATGATCTTTCCAAGAAGTGCAGGAGGCACAGCTGTAAGAAAAAGCAGCCAGCCCCAAGTGCTCTTAAACCACCTATGAGAAGCAGCACTTTTTCAGAAATGTCTGAATTGCCTGATTTCAAAGCATTCAGTTGACATTTAGCATGTCAGCAGAGTAAAGGTCTTCCTTAATTTCTACCTCAGTCTGCATTTAGCTGTCCCTTGTTTGTACTGCCGGTAAACAGAGGTCATGAGCCAGCTAAGCACATCAGTATCAGAACCCCTGATTTAGTCTCACTGTCCCTTTTACAAGTAGTGCACAACATGGTTAATTAATCTGAAGTAATTGGGTTCCTCCAGCTCTGAGCCCTGTTCAATTTGCACATTTTTAGTCTGACACTTTTTCTGCTGCCTTTAGACTGTGCAGACGGCACTGGATAAAGCTAGAGAAGGGCGCACCTGCATCGTCATCGCCCACCGCTTGTCCACCATCCAGAACGCTGACATCATCGCTGTGATGTCACAAGGACTCGTCATTGAAAGGGGCACTCATGATGAACTGATGGCCATGGAAGGAGCCTACTGGAAGCTTGTTACTACTGGAGCCCCAATTAGCTGAATTACTATGATTCTAAATTTGAAAGATTTCTGTAAGCAAATGCTTTGTGGTAGGTATGTGTATGTTGGTGATCCATTGTGCTACAGAGCAAGTGCTCTACAGTACAGTGAGATCTGTGGAATCCTGAATGTATGTAGCTGTCTGCATAAAGCACGCTTGTCCTGCATGTGCAAGGCACTAAGCACAGGCTGATGCAGTCAGGAAGTAGCGTAGCCCAATCATAAGAGAAAAAAAACTGGGAAAGATCTTTTCTGGTGATCTGGGGAGTTGCTGCTACCTGCAGTCAGACTGGACAGTCCTGTCATGCCTCAACTAGCAATCAAGGAAGACTCTGGTGTTCTGGAAACTGCCCTCTCTCTAGGTAAGCTGAATGAGTGAAAACAACCCCTCAAAGGATGCTGTACATCTGAAGGGATCAAAGCTGTCGTAAGGTTTGGTCTGCAGACAATTACAGCAGAGGCCCTTCCTGTGCATGCAGAAGCCCCACTCTTCACCCATTGTATCACAGATATCAGCAGTGCTGTTGTGGGGGGCTTGGCTTCCCTTGTGTGCACCTGCAGCACTGACACAGCTGTGCCCCTTCAACAAACCAGTCAGTACTTACAAAGAAGGCAGCTCCACAGAAGTAAGGAAAGTAACCAAGGTAAGGAACAGAAGCTGGTGAGGACCATTTCCTAGCCCACCATTCTCCAGCTAACATTCATTACTCTAATCAGCCATCAAAAGGATTTTTGAATAGGAATAAATGCCTTGGTTAAATTAATGTAAAATTCTATGGTTAATCATCAGTTATTTAAACCACTTCTATTGAAATGGTGATGGATATATTCTTTTTTTCAGAAGGTAAGACAATCATGAGTGAAGGTAGAAGAAATAGGCATAATTAGCTCTTTGTATTAAATACAGTTGATAAACAGAGCAACAATATATTCAGAAATGACTAAGGTCAGGAAGGAGCTTCTTTTGGAAGAAGCTTGTATCTGTCACAGTTTATTATAAGATCTACCACAAGTTTCACTGAAATATGTTATTGGTTATTGTCTGCAGCATAACAGGACTGTTTCCTTTGGTTACTTGGATCTTGGAGAAAAGCAGATAGAAAGACACCTTTGTGACCTAAATTAAACCAATAAATTGTATTTTTTTACTGGCTCTTGTGCTCTACCATTTCTTCTCTTACCTTTCAGCTAAACACATGAGTATCTCACAGCAGCCAGCAAGTATCATGTCTGTGAGAAGGTTTGCTGTTCAGGATGAAGCTTCTGAGAAGGCCAACTCAAGGACACCAGCCCCTGCCTGCACAGGAGGCTGCTGTCTCCCTGCAGGAGCACAGGTCCGCAGCCCAAGCTCAGTGGTAGTGCTGCTGCTCTTCAATGTAACATCATCCTCTTTTCAGGCAGCTGGGAAACACCAAGAGCTAAATGCTGGGAAGGGTGCTAGTGCAACAGAATGCACTCACTGTGTACATAATAGTTGCACATTCTTGGATCCACCTCCTGCCACTTTGCTCCTATATGCTGTTGACAACCAATTGATTACAAAAACCTCTGGTACCTGGATGGCACTACATGGTGTGTCTGGGCATGAGCAGCAAGCCTTGATGGAATGCTCAGTGCAGAAAGACTGGACTGGTCCTGCAGCTGCAGCTGCCTCACCGGTAAAATGTCCCAGTTCTGGGGCTTGGTGACAATATCCCTGAACCATTCCAAAGTCATTTGCTTACATCTTTCAAGCCAGACCTGAGTTACTAGTCTTGACAGTAGATGGTGTCATTTTGTGTCTCCTGCTGTATGCTTCTCTGCATGGTACATGGCAGCTGCATTTTCCAACACCCTATTCCTCTGGGCAGATATAACCATGATACTGTTTTGGGATAGCACCAGAGATGATAGCAGCTCTGCAAATACAGCTTCTGCTCCAACTAGACTCCTCTGGGTAGGAACAGTGTGTCTGGACCAAGAGTCCTTCCACCAGAAAGGCTAAACAGGGAATGGGGATCATAAAAAGAAAAGCTGTATAGTAGCAAGAGAGTTGTGAACTGAATGTAATGACAACTTGTCAGCTAGTTTGTAAGAGGAGCAAGGGACAGCTTCACTTCATATAACTCCTGGCTCATGAGAATTTTTCTGCAGAGAGGTGGAAGTACTTTTGGAATAGCATTATTCCAATGCTATTATGGACATCTCTATGTCAATAATTATTTGGGCATCTCTAAGTCAAAAATAAAAGGTTTCTCCTGGGATCCTACTAGTGGGAGCAAGGGGATCAGTCATACACTTTCCAACCTCTTTATTACACAGGAAAACCTTAATTCAAAAGGTTTGTGGCCCAAACTAAGCTGAGTTGTTAGCTTGTCCTGCAAGTGTGGATGTGCTGTATCTGTTCCAAATATTAACAATTTAAGCGGCTGCAAAGGCCTGGTGAAATTACAGCCTAAATGTTTAACAGTTTGAGCTTTTACTAAGGTCACACTATTTAAATAAGGTCTGAACTGTAATATTCAACTGCAATAAATTCACTGAAGCCTGAGTAAGGGACATGCTGGTTTATTTCACTGCAACAACTACATGCCTGGCTCCTGATTTTCAATTCTAATTCTATCAAAATATCTAGATTATATCTTGACACTTTCCTATCCCACCATTCTGAAAAAGGCTAACTCTGTTTGAAGATTTGGGAGCCCTCTTTGGAGGGCAGTTATACAAGTTATACAAGCAGTTATACAAGTCTCCATACCGTAACACAGATGGTCAGAAAGTGTCTTATAGCCATTGCATTATCAGTCAGTTAATTTCTGAAGTTACTAGTAAAATTACACTAAATTTATTCAGGTTTCCCACCATTCTTTGATTTAGTAATGTTTTAATAATTGAAGAAAAATTAAGAAGTGCTTCAGACAGGAAGATGTTCTGTGTCCTTTTCCCTGAAGCACTGAAATTACAGAATGAATTAACAGGACACTCCAAGAATGTGAGTGAGAGCCCACATCTTCCTACATGTCTGTACAGAGCTTAGGGTACTGCAGAATGCCATTTGTTATTCTACATTTATGGTTGTGTCTGCAACAGAAGCACCAAGATTCATTGTCAGTGCTGGGAAACAGAGACTCTCATGTGATTAGAGGCCTAGAAATGTGATCTCTACCCATAACTCCCAGTTTAAAATTGCCACTAAATCCAAATGCTTCTGTGAGAACTTTGGACAGCTGTGCATGAAGAATCTCCTACTGCTGGCTAGGAGGAGCCAGGAACAGAACAACAACTCAATCAACCTGCTACTGTTCTGTGATGCCTCTGTAGGGCATCTCACAGGTAGGGAATAACAAAGCACAGAGCAACTTCAACACAGCTGAAATCTTTGTCATAGTTGTCTTTGTTCTTCATTGTTTGTTTCTAGTCCCATTAACTTTGCTTATGGAGTCACAATTATAGAAAAGAGTGGTTTTAGGTCAGCTGCTGTGGGAAAAAAGTTCAGAGAAACATTAAAGAAGGTATCAGGAGATGCACGAAGCAGAATACGCCTCAGACTGTTAAAAGCAGATGACTAATTTTCTAAAGTCACATTAGTCTTACTAGGCTTTTAATTAAGGATGCCTGTTTCAGATTTGCTTCTGTAATTTTTATCTTGTTCGTTCCCAAAGGCAAACACCAAACTATTCACTTTGTTTACCCAATTAAATAAGATTCTTTCAATTATCTCCTACCTAGTTGGAAGTCTAGAAGCGGTATCATGTTTACATCTTCTAAGCCTTATTGCTTTCAGATCATACATATGCAGCCCTCAGTACCCATACTATACCCTTGCATACTAAGGCTCTTTATATAGCACTTATATACTGAGTATTATGTGATGGTATCAGGAAAATATTGCTTAAAGATTATGCACTGAAAGAGAACATACAATAATAGATGTCAAATAATGAAAATAAAATAGAAAGTACCCCCCTTTGCCTATTTAGAACATTCATTTTACATAGCAAACATATATTCAACACTAGTTACTTGTGTGCTTAGTTAAACAAAGCTGACAAGAATATAAACTTGAAGTGAGAGTTAGCAACCATATTTTCATGATTTACACAACTACTAACAGTGATTCAGGCTTGTGACTGTTGATCTGAGAGAATTAGCAGAGAATTACCTTTGCAATACAGGAGCATGAACAGTATTCTTGAGGTCATATACTGAGATAATTTCATTATTGACAACTTTTTTCATTTGTTGCTCTTTGTAGATGTACAGAACCTAAAGATTTTCTACACCATATTTACGTATTTTCCCTATTGAAGCTGTAATCTGTATCATTCATGATTCATGTGACCACTTTCAAGAGGTTGAAGTGACAAAAACTGCTCAGTAATGCAAAAATATATTCTACAGAGTCCAATGGAAATAAACTTTTTTTTTCCTCATCTGACTTAATCAGAAGCTGGTTTGCTCAGGAAGCTCAATAAATTAAATCTAAAGCCTTGTTTATAACTATGCTGGCCTTTTCCACAGTGCCTGGATACAGCCTACAGTTGTAGGTGGTGTGATACTGTCACACCATTATGTAGCAGTTTAACACACAGTATATATAAAAAAACCAAAATATCGAGTATCACCATGTACAACTGGCGCTTGAAGCATTATCTAGCTAGAGATGGACAGAACTAAAAGACCACCATATAGCTAAATAAAGATGGCTGATTACACTTTAAAACTTAATTATGACCCAGAGTATTGGGCCATTTCTAACCATACTGCAGTGCACTTGCAATATTTCTAGGAATAAAATCAGCAACTAATATTTCTGAGCCAAAGTCAAAGTCATTCTTGAGTGTAGTGATTTCGGATGTACTAGCTCCTTTCCAGGATGCAGTGGCATCCCCTTGGTTTAAATGAATTAGCAAAACTGCCTTTGCAGAGGGTTCTTGAACAGTTCACATCCATCCCCACATTGCTAACCATTTTGAAACTTAACCTAATTAAGTTTCTTTTCAGTTGTCCTCATTAATGAGTGGACACAGTACGGAACCAAGGCAACTACAGTCAGAGGCATAGCTGCGCTCTTAAAAAAAGAGAGAATGTAGAACAAATACTCAGTATGAGTAGGTATCTTAACAAAATTATACAGCTGCAGTGTAGCTAAAGAAGCAGCTATACACAATATGCGGAAACTTAACTTGCGGCTATTTTTACCTTTGCAGCTCGTGATGAACATTTCAGAATTAATTCCAAGACCTAAACCAAAGAGTGCACCTAAGTTCCTCACCAGTCCAGCAAATGGAGTTGTGTCAATGTTTATCCAGTCTGGGTTGGCACACCACTTCTTAGCTTTTGGAACAGACCATAGCAAGTCAATATCAAGAAGCTTCAGAGATAGATAAAAACCAAGGGCAAAGATGAAAAGAAACAAGTTTGTCTTGATGTACATTCTCAAGCTTGCTGTCTGAATGGCAGGGGTATGCTCAAATGCTTCTGCCACAAGAATGCCTGCGGATTAGAAACTCAGTGTTACAGGGAACAGCACACTTGTACTTTGAAGAAGCATTCTCTACAGTGTCCCTGTAGAATTTGACTTTTGAAGACAGAAGAATATATCTAAGTAATAAATACCTATGTGTGTGTATATACATATATTTATACATACACATATACACACACAATTTATCACTTTTGCAGTACATTACAAAACCTTTCCTCCCACTCAAAACTGCCACTTTGGAAAAAAATAATTAAATACCAGGCACTACATGGTTTTGATATGAGGCATACCTTAAGGCCTGACTGCATCTCCCAGATGACAACCTATCAAATATTAGATGTAAACTGGAACATTCCTTTTCCAAAAGAGTCCCTCACTCAAAGACTGGCTCCAGCAATGCAGAATTCAACACCAGTTCCCACACAGGCTTTGAGTGTTGAAGGAAAAGACACAGAACACATTTATCTTCTCTTGTACTCATTTTATCCTGGCTGTGAAGAGGGAAAGCTGTTAGCCAGGGCTACCCAGGCTGCCCTGCATCCATGAAAGAGAACATGAGCAGGAAGCCCCTGCTCAGTGCACCCTCTTTAAAATCAGATAGATACCAGAGATACTCCTCATAGTTTGGACTTCTTGAATACCAATTTATAATATGCTTAATGACTCTGAAAAATGTACTTTAGCATCTTAAATCACCCACAGAGTTTGTCTTGCTATTTACCTTTTTTTTTCTATTTTGCCCTAGGTCTCTGTGTTTGTCCACATTTCAAAAATACTATTTTGCACCTGGACATTATTTGAAGTGACCCAAATAACTTCCTCCTGAGGGGAAAGGTCAGAGCCATGTAGGAGCAACTTCCTTTCTGATATCTTCCACAGAGGCAGCACAGTTAAAGATCAGATGCAGCCAGTACAAAGCAGTCAGAGTTAGTCTGAGGCAGCGTGGACACATTACAGTCAGCATCAACTGGCAGGTGGACAAGGGCTCACTCCATTGTTAATTGCACAACCAGCAGGTACGTTGTACCTCAAAAATTTTACCTTTGGACTATCATCGAATCCCTGATTTTCCAGAGAGTAGAGGGCACCACTAGGGCTGCAAGACGAGTCCAACTACTAAAAATCTCTTGTCTTCCCTAATTTTTTAAAAAATGTTTGCATATAGGTTAAAAAGAAAAAAGAAAAAATAGCAGCATTACCAGCAAATACTCCAAGAACAACTTGATGAGGGAAATGTGTTGCTATGAATACTCTTGAGACGCACACACTGATCTGGATAATCCAAAAAATACTCCAGAGGAATGACCATGTTAGTCTAAGAGGGAAAAGGAAGATGCTTAAAAATTAAGACAAGATATTTCATCTACTTATTTACCCCAAGCCCCATCATGTAAGGTTCATGCTTTTACCAGGAGAGGTTTAATAAGTGGAGCAGTTTAGAATCAGATGATTAAAAACTAGAAGTCAGTACTAAAACATTATCAAGAGCGGTTACAGGAACAGACCTCAGAAGTTGCAGGTCCAAGACACCTCTGTGGTTTAAGTGATGAAAGTCATCAATGGCAGATTAAATTAGGACTAATGCCTTAAACATATTTCTCATCATGAAGTCATATCTATATGCAAAAGCTCAATTATTTCATGACAAAATTGACAATGTGAAAACAACCTTGTTAGCCTTAGAGAGAACAGCCATCAAAGCAAATGCAGGACTTTCCCACAGAGCTGAGCAACACATTACAGTGAATTTCATCAACATTATGTACACTTGCTTTAAAATGGGCGAAGGATGACCATCAAAGCAGTAAATTTATGTACTAACCAAAAAAATCCAATACATAGTGGCAATTATAGAATTAAAAATTTCCAGCACTGAAGATTTAGGACTGATTCAGAGATATTGTATGCAATGTCTGTAAATTGATAAATACCAGCCTATACAAACAGATAAATCCTCTTAATATACTTTTTATTCAGCTGAAATGGATCATAATAAAAGGTTGGGCTTTTTTTAACAAAATAGACCAAACTGTGAATATTTATTTAAATTAGGTCCATTAAAAACATAGCATGTATATAAAGAAATACCTGAATATAATGAGTTGGACTCATGGAAAGACACTGACCTGTGAAGGGTAACAGCTGATTTATCTTTCCATCTAACTGTGTACCTAAGTGCTGCTGTGACCATTACATACCAGACGCAGGATGATCCCATGGCATGTCCAGATGGGCTTCCTAGTAAAAACAAAAAGGAAATACTCAACTCAAGAATGAAGACTGTGACAGCTGTCATACAGAAAATGTTTACTGGTAGTTACTCAGGCACCTAATAATTTAGAAGGGAAATGGATAACAAAGACTGAAAGAATGTGAACTACTTCTCAAAAGTTAATTTTTGCCATATGAAATTTTCAGAAGGTTCCTCTAGAGGGAATCCATAATACTTGTCTGATATCCAAAAGGTAACAGCTTAATCATTTTATATTGGTGTGAGTTAGAATCTTGATAAGAAAACATAGTACTTTCCCATTACTTGGATTTAAAAACTTAAAAAAGCATCTAGGGCTGTCTTAGAGATGCAGTGCGGAATGTAGAAGTTATGTATGAGCATAACATGAGAAAAATTTTTATGAGCTTTCCCATAATTAATGGGAGCAAGAGAAATTTAGCTCTTTGTAACATTCTAAACTAAAGTACCGGTATAACTTTAGATAAGCCTTCCAAGCTGCCCTTTATCTGCTTTCTGCAAGTTACCATGGTGTTAACGACTGTGAGCTGTGTCTCACTAGCAATATTACAATCCAGGTAATTAATATTTTGGGTAGTTTTGTAATAATTTTAAAAACATACCTGAAGCATGGAAAATCTGTGTCTCTTTGCTTCACTTTGATTAATTTTATAAATTTTAAGGTGCTGTACAAAATCAGCCAGATTAAAAGTATATTGTCAATGAAACTGGCAGATGAAATGATGCTCTAATTGCTGTACCCACAGGTACAGCACACAGTAGTCTATAACAGGGAACACTCTCTAATAAAGAGAACAACAGTGATTTCTTTTTAGTCCAGGTTATAATAATATATGTATAATTTGTTTTAATTTAAAAAAGTAAAATTTAAATTTTACTGGAAGCAATATGAAGCCACACAGAAGATCCTACAACAGCGAAAAGCACCAAAAAACTGACATGACATGCTGACATGATGCAAGGGAAGTGATTCCTAAAATTAGTCTGTCATTTCCTTTCTCGTGTTCACCAGATTCACATTCAACAAATCAAAACAGAGAAAGAGAAAATTAGACCATTGGAATCTGTAAGTCTGGGACCTTTACATCTTGGCTTTCTGTGGAGACAAAAGAGAAGGGACAGGGTTATTTCACTGTCAGAAGAAATAATTTTGGCTTAAGAATGTGTTATGAAGCAGCACTATCTAGTACTGCGTAGAGTAAAAGAATATTTCAGTGAAGTAGCAAAGCAGAAATGTCTAGGTGGGACAAGCACAATGACTTCTGACTCCCTGCATTCATTTTTACTATTCTGCTTGGCAGTACATTTAGAGTCACTCTACCAGCTCTTTTGTTAATTTTCTAACAGATGTTCACTCCTGAACCTCACAACGGAACAAATGTCACTGATGAGGAAACAGTAATGTATGTCAACAGTGGGAAAATTTGTCTTTGTTGTCATCTAGGAATAATATTTCATAGCTCATCTGTAAATAACCTACTCTAAATAGCATAAATTCCACCTTAAGGTTTAGGTTCTTAAAGTTTTATAAATACCAGAAAAAAATGGCCGCAGGGTTTTAGTTCAGTTAATTCCAGAAGTACAAACCAAATTCAGGTCCTAAACTGTTTGCCATGTAGTCATATGAACAGTTCCCTCAACTTTCCCTTTTGCTGAGACATGGAGTTTGGGGTTCAGGCTATCCTAGCAGTATTTGGATCTGTTTTTCTCATGTCTGTGGATGCTTCTCTAATTTTTTAATATAAGTTGCTATTTAAAAAGTGTGTGAAGTACCATGTAAGCTCACACAGTGATTGTGTGCATGTAACAGCTGTGCTGACTGCACCTCCTCTTGCTAATGATAAACAGGTCAGTGACAGTCTTAATGGTCCAGCCTAAGTCTGGAGGTGGGAAAAAATGTGGTCACTGTAAGTACAAAGAAGGAATCAATATGACAGTTGTACCCACTTGACAGAAATAGGAATGACCTTTCAGAAAGACAGTAACAAGAAGAAACACCTCCTGGTTCAATGAATCAAAATGAAACACACTGACTGTCTCCTGCGCCAGGGCTCAGATCTACACAGAACTGAATGGGCTCAGCTCTGAAGGCTTTTGATAAGATCTGAAGGACTTTAATACTTTTTGTTAGGTCCCAAATGAATAAACTTGAAACAGAATGCAGATAAAGAATGTCACAGAATGTCACATAAAGACCAGGCATTACACAAGGGCTTAAGCTTCTTGTTCATAATTACAATGGCATGTAATGCAGGATATTGTCAACAAAATACAGCTATGCAAACTGCTTAAGAGCTTTCAGTGGTATCAACAAGAGGAAAAACACACAATTTCCACAGTCAGTATCTTCTTGCACAACAAATTAAACTAAATTCAGTTAGCTCAAAGCCAGTTCATCATATTGCACATATTAGGGCCGCACAAGTTCATTTAGTTTCATCAGTGTTGCATTTGATTTCCACAGAGAAGATAATGAGACGTAAAAAATAAAAATATATTGAAAAGGTATATTTAAAAAATATTTTTTCCCCATATGTTTTTACACATACTCCCATGCACACATTCAGCATCACTCTCTGGTTCTGGTTCTTTTCCACTTGTCATACATTATATAATCGATTGCTGAGACTATTGTTATTTACACTGAACCACCTACTTAGCTTTTTGGGTATGAATTTTTCTTGCAACACCAAACAAGCCCTCAAACTCAACAGCCTGGGCTCTGTCTTGGAACACATTAAACAATGTACTTCACGAGTTTTATGAAAATTTCTTTCCTATATGCCAGTTCATTACAGTAATAGTTATTTTTAAAGCAAGTCCCCCTCCCTTGCATCTTTTAAAGGCAATGAAGGAAATATTCTGTCATACAGCAAATACCTACCTATAGTATTTCTTCCTTTTCCTCTACTTATTTTTTTTGTGCTATTTTATACATGAGCTCTGAGATTTGTGTATCATATAAGACCTTCCAAAGTGCTGTTCTCTCCCCTTTGAAGCCGCTATCCCTATAAAAAGTACCAAGGTAATCTCCAACATTTCTTACCTGGTCCAGTTTCACATGTTATAGGAAACTGTTCAAGGCACGGGCTTGACTGATTAGGATAAATCATTGTTTCTTGCACCCACCAGTAAGGGCGATGACCAAATAAAATCCTGATAAAAAATAAAATAAAATAAAATGAAGCGGAAATTCAATAAAAATATTTTTACATTAGAAGGCCTCAGCAAAGCATGATAAATAATCTTACAAAGAATATGAAGAGCTGTATTTCCAAAGCTATTCTATAATAGTTCTGCAGGTTCTTCTCATCTTATTACAATGCTATTTCAAACATATCTTAAATATCTTCATTGTGAATTCCTATTTGATGGTTATCAGGAAAAATCTACTAGTACATTATTCACAGAAAGTTTTCTAAACTTCAGGAACATATAATTACTATTATTAAAAATACCAAATTTTAAAACAAATTCAACTTCTTACCATTTAAATATGAGGTTGAACCAATCACCAATGACTGCCACCCATATCATTTTAGTACCAACCACCTGGTTGAGCTGAAACCAAAGAGGAAAATAAATTGAAAATATATTCCGGGGATCACCAACGTGTGACATGAAATTAAGGAAATCCTGGTAAGCCCTGTAGTCCCTCTGTAAATGCTGAATGATAAGCACTCCATTGCTGTGAAGGAGATCCATCTTAATGGATTAAACTGTACTTGAAATACAGTAAAGTCCTTTTAATCTTAAATTTCTAGTGACAGAGAATGAGAATCATGGAGGGGAGCTATTAAAAAGTGAGAGAAGGTGATTGACGTTGCCTTTATATTATATTGGCGTGGTGTACCCAGCTATTCCCAAAACACGTGGCTCCAGATCTCCAGGAAAGCATATGAGTTTGTTAGCACTGGAAAGCTTTTTTGTTTGCAAATTTTAATTGTAGGAAGCTAAGTGAAGTACATGCTGAGCAGCAGCAAATTGTGGGGAAACTTTTATGGAAGCACAATGTGTGATTCGTGCAATCCTTTGTATGAACAGTTGGAACATGTTTGCTTAAATTTTTTCACAGTTCATTTCTCTGCAGGATGGACATTAGTAATGTGTGTACTTCATTAACTGTTGCCTGTATAAAGGACAGAAAGAATACACAAATTACTTATCTTTGCAGAGCTGTCACTGAAGCTGTACATTTCACTTTGAAGTAGAACTTGGTTGCAACTTACACTTGCGCAACACATTTTTTTTCAGTCAGGGAAAATGCAACTAGTATCCATACATCAACCATGCTGTTGAGCTCTAGATTTATTTTTAAAGCAACAATATTCTTAAAATACTGAAAAACAATTGTTTCCTTCCTACAGGAGGCCCGTTAATCAAGGGCCCAATGCAGATGATGCTCAGTCTCTGAGTCATCTTTTGGTACTGCCATTCTTGGGCATTGCTTACATGACATCAGTCCTACGCCCCCTCTGCCAGAAGGAGCTGCAGCCCCTGCTTCTTGCTGCCCAGCCTGACAGAAATGAGACCTCCTTTACAAACCAGAGCAAGGCTGGGAACAGATAATCAGGAGTATTTCCCTGGACTATTCCCAAGTGAAACACAGTGGTTCTCCAAAGCAAACAGCCAAGAACAAACAGATTCTGCCACACAGCAGGAGTTTAAAAGATTACAGCAGACAATATATTAGCATATCAGATTTATCAATATTAGTACTCATAACTGTAGCATAGAATATTATGTTCATTTGAGGTGGCTTCATGAAAAGAACTTTTTCTACAAGAGATTAAATGGATACTAAAGGCCTGATGATACCAACTTCTGATACTGTCAGAGGGAAACTTCTAGCTCTTTATCAGGCTCTAATATTCTGATGTATTCATCTCTTCTATCAAATTATTATCTGTGTATCTGAAACAGTGTGAGTCAGAAGACAAAACCAGCTCTATATATATGTACCGCACACTTCCCTAATTTCCATGCACTTCAAGCTAAACTGCACAAGCTGTGGATACAAAGATATGAACTACTTAACAGTTTTTGCTAAGAGGGGTTTAATGGCTTAAGAGGGCTTCATGAAGTGTGATGAGGGAAGTCAAATGGAAACATTAAGTAGATTAAAAAAAAAAGGCATGACAATTAATGGACGTAGAAGAAGATTTCCTGACACAATCTCACATTTACTTTAAGTGCTCCCATTTACTTTAACTATTAATAATCTGGTTTCAGAAACTTTTTAGCAGATTTAAATCCTCTATGTTTATTGCTACCAATTGCATTAAGCCATATAGGCAGCCTTAAAGTTAAAAGTTTCTATGCACTGCTTCTGAATAACTACAATATTTTTCTATGTACTGACCAAATTATTCACTTCAGCTAGTACTATCTGATTTCAGGGGAAACCCTTCCAAACTCAAAATTTCAGGACCTTTCAATAAAAATATTTCCTTGTTTTTCAGCTGAAAATATTTGAGGAGGTTTGTTTCTTGCCAAGTTGTATACCTTACTGCTTTTCAGTGTCCATCAAGGCAACTGTCACAGAAATGAATGGATGGAATTAATTTTCTCTCTCCCAGTACTTCCCCAAGACTATACTTGTTTAGAAATCTCTATCTAATAACTCTTTTTACCTTATTGCTAAAAAATATGTTCTTTTGTTAAATTTTTTTTGCTGCAAAAGCATCTTGCCTTTAAAGATAAGTAAGACTTACTATAATAGTAAAAAATCACTCTTCTAGACATGTCTGGGTTTAGTATGCAAAAATGTGGAGTATCTGAGGTCTTCCTCTGTTTTTCAATCTAGTTTAGCAAGAACAGTTAGCTTCAAACATGAGTGCAAACTCCAAGTCAGTTGGCAGCTGAGTAACAGACACTTCTAGTACTTGGTTAAAAGAGCGACAACTATAATGAGCTTAAGTCTAAATAACTATTGTTCTATTAGGAAAAAATATTTTGCAGTACATAGGTTCCCATCAAGATACAATTTAATGTCCTCAGGAGAGTATACCAAGTAATAAAATAGATCATTTTACAGTCCCTCTTTAATGGTGCCACTGTTAGTCAAAGATATCCACAGGATGTGCAGAAGCTATTACAGTTATATATGCAGAAGTTATTACAATAACTTTTTACCTATTTGCTTTATTTACAAGTTCAAACCCACTCACCCATAGTATCTATGCACTAGAACAGTGATACATCTGCTCAGGGTGAACTCTTCTTCAGACAGAACACCTCAGGCACACTTTAGCTCTCCAGAAACTTTGCAAATCTAATGTTTGAAGATATGTCTTGGCAATGTTTCAGTAACCTCTTTTAGTATAAATGCTGAAGACCTCCTGATATTCATTTTCAGGATTTTGCTGCTGATTTCTTATGCTTAAATAGAAAGACAAGCACCTTAGACATAATAAAGACTAACAGCTAACAGCAAAAGAAAATATTTTCATTTTCTCCTACGTTCTTTCTGAGTGTTTCAGAAGTTCCTACATCTGCACCTTAGAGATACCAGAGGAATCATGTTTTTAAAGGATGTTTAAAATCCTCAAGAAATCCACAACCTACAAAACAGACACTGAGTAAGTTTTGAAACAGGTAAGCATGTTTCTGTGGGAGAGGCAGTTCTCACTGTGCCTGGAATCACTCATGATCCTGCTCCATCCAAGAGGAAATGGATAACTGACATACTAGTAATCTCTTGTCCTGCCTGTCATATTTCACAACCAATAAAAGTCGGAGACACTAAAGACTTTGCAAGTTGTAATAACCAGCAAAGATGGTAAAACATGTCTTGAAATACTATATTTAATAATTTGTTTGACAAAGGAGAAACATTTCCTCAATAGACCTTCCCTTGCTCCTCTATGTAAAGCACTGCAAAAAGATTCTGTAATCCCCCTAGTGCTTCAAAGTCAGTTGAGATAACAAATGAAATAAAACTATTTGCTGTATTTTAGTATAGAGAATTGCAGGGAAACCTAATGATCTATACAAAATGGTCAGGAAGTATAGACAATTAAGTTTTTAAATTGAAGCTTTCTCTTATTTTGATATTGGAGATCCGAGGTTTGGCCTTCACATACATTAGTTTTTAGTTCAAAGCAAAAGCCTTTCAAATGCTATCTGTTCATATATTTTTTTTAATTTATTCATATTTTTTTTGATTTATTATGTTTTCTAAGACACACAAAACCAGAGATTTATATATGTGTGTGTGTGTGTATATATATAAACACACATAATATGTAAAAACAAGAGTCATGCTGATGATCCACTGAAGGGAGGATAAAATGTTTACAGCTACCTTGCACTTACATATTAGAGCAAATATTACATAACAGTCAGATGCTGTTAAGTAAATGTTTGCAAGGGAGGGAAAAGCCATCAAAGCAAACATTTTTTGAAACACTGTTAATGGAGGCCTGTGCACAGGCCCTAACTTTCTGGTACATTATGCTTAGTTAATTGAACAATAAAATTAATTTCCAAACCAGTATTTCCATTGACACTGGACCAACTACAAGGATTAACAAGCAATTTACTAAGTTCACTAGCAGATAGTATATATAACAGCTGACAGGTATTTTCTCAGGTGTGAATGTTTTCCAAGTGGAAACACTGAGAAGATAAACCTTAATTTTTGAATTAGGAAAAGAAGAATATTTCAAGAAGCTTGCACACTGTCCTTCTCTCATTTTTTACTTTCTTTCTAATCCTATGCCCTTAAGCATTCCGCATTGGACCCAGGCTTTTTTAGGGTTGGACTGACCAATAGAGGTTTAGCAATAGTTAACATGACCCAGTCTCCTTCTCTTCATTCTGCCACCTTAATCAGATCCTCCCTAATTAGTATAGTCATTACTCTTTGCTATAAAGTTAACTATGCAAGCACACAAAGCTAACAAAACTAATCTGTGCACTCTAACAATAAACAGACCTGCCAGACCTTAATACTTGTTTACAATTCTAATGTAAATTAGTAATATAAATTACAAATTACAATTGCATTACATTGTTTTTATAAGTGCAACAGTATATATTACACAAACAATGCATGGAATATAATTCTGGCATGTCTACAAAAAAGTCACATCTAAGGAATTTTACTTATTTTAAGTATGAAGGGCTACCTTTTAGGAACTAGGAGCAACCTAGGGAGGATAAAATTCTTTCAAGTTCCATGAAACACAGGCAGAAATGGAACTGAACCCACTAGGGCAACAATCTCCAACACAGTTTTTCAACTCCCTTTCCAATAAGATTCCTGTCTTACTGTCATTCTCTAATCCCTGAAAGTAGCCTGTTCTAAATTCTTAAAACCCTATGTCAACCATAGTCCGGGGAGTCAGAAACCTGCTGTAAGAAGTAGCTGAGCCTGTTTATTAGCACCAGCTTGTCAATTTTGTGTTCCTTTAGAATGTCCTCCTAAGCTGCAGTAGTTCTCCAACCCAAGCTAGACTTTTCAGCTGCCTCTTAACCCAGGATGGAACAGCCCAGGATGGACTTTCTGTTACCAATAAAATAAAGCAGCAGATTTTTGTTGGCAACATTCTGCCCTTCAGTCTGACACTGCAGGCAACTGTCACCCTGTGGCTGCTGCTGTGCTCCTTAGAACCTCGAGTTTAACCAAGTAACCTGTTGATAAAAGGACACCTGTGAAGAGCTGGAAAACACAGAAAAGGGGTATATTGCATAGTTAGTTGTCTCCAGCCAAACTCATAGTGTTAAAAACAGGGTAAATAATTGTTGCAACTTTTTTCCATCCCTGGCTACTCTGTGGCTTACTAGGACAGACATTTAGAGAAAAACCATTTCAGAACAATTGTCTGGGTTAAAGCAGGGTGGCTGCCAGCATTTCTGTCTATGGAGCTTTGAATCAGACCCAGCAGAGGACTGAAGAAGCATCTGACCTGCACTAGTTTGGGCCATGAGGCCACATTCCTGTTTGTAGCCGGCAAAACCCATCAGTTTGCATTGAAAACTAGGACTTGTCAAAATCACCGTGCTTCCCTGAAATACACACTTGGTAAACTGATGGTGGACTGTAGTGGGAAAGGTTGAAGATAGGTTATAGTACAGTTCATGTCTCTCAAAACCTCTAAATCAATCGGAAAAGAGAGCAATTAA